GTTGTTGATAGGGCTGCAAATAGCAGGTTACTCTGATATAGTGATTTGTGGGGATTATTCTTCCGTCAATAGTGTTATTAAATGGGTTGTTTTCATTTTTAAATGTTTCAAAATCCCAAACAAGATATTTTTTTCAATTTATAAATCCTTATGAATGTGGGTTTAAATCATTTGGGACAAGGATAAGAAATTTTAGTTTGGGGTTTTTATTATTGTTGGTTTTTTTTGTGGTTTTAGATGTTGAAATAGTATTATTGTTGAAAATGGGTTTATCTGATGTTTCATGGGGTTCTTTGATTTATTATTTATTTTTTTTGAGTGTTGTTGTATTTAGTTTTTTTTATGAAGTAAAGTATGGTTTTATTAAGTTTATTAAATAATATGGAAACTTATTTTGTTACTGCTAATAACATGCTTAGATGTGTGAAGTGTCTAGTTTCTTTAGATTTATAAGTTAAGTTAGACTGTTTGTTTTCAAAACAAAAAATAAGCCTTGGGGTTTTAAATTTGAAAATGAAAAAGGTTTTTATTTTATTTTCTTTAAATCATAAGAAGATAGGTGTGGTTTATTTGTTTTTGGGTATGTGGTCTGGTTTTGTTGGATTGGGTCTTAGTATGATAATTCGTTTAAATTTAATGAGTCCGTATCATAAAATTATTTCTACTGAGTTGTATAAATTTACCATAACAAGTCATGGAATAGTAATGATATTTTTTTTCTTGATGCCTGTTTTAATAGGGGGGTTTGGTAATATTTTGTTGCCAATATTTACACGACAGGGCGATATGAAGCTTCCACGAATTAATTCTTTTAGTCTTTGAATATTAATACCATCTATGATAAGGTTGCTTATTAGTATGTATTTGGGTTCAGGTGTTGGGTGAACATTTTATCCACCACTCTCTAGTAAGTATTTTTCTGGTAGTGGTGTGGATTATATGTTAATATCTTTACACCTAGCTGGGTTATCTAGAATGTTAGGGGCATTAAAATTTATTATAACCTGTAATTGTTATTTTTATTCCACTTGTTCTGGCTTAGACTCTAAGCTATACATAGATTGGGTACTTCGTACCCCGATGTTTGTGTGGGGTTATTATTTTACTTCTTTTTTATTGTTTTTATCTATTCCAGTTTTGGCAGGGGCTATAACGATGCTTTTATTTGATCGTAAATTTGGAACATCTTATTTTGATCCATTGGGTGGTGGTGATTCTATAATGTTTCAACACATGTTTTGGTTTTTTGGACATCCCGAGGTTTATGTTTTAATACTACCTGGTTTTTCTATGATTGGGCACATATGTACTGAATTAAGAAATTGGGAGTCGCCAGTGGGATATTTGGGCATGGTGTTAGCAATGTTTTCTATTGTTGTACTAGGTTTTATTGTTTGAGCCCACCACATGTTTACAGTTGGTATGGATATAAAGAGTATATCATTTTTTAGTGCTGTTACAGCATTAATTGGTATACCAACTGGTGTAAAGGTTATTTCGTGAGTATCAATGTTAACCACTGGATCAGTTGGCTTAGGTGACCCAGTGGTTTGGTGAATAATTTCGTTTATTATATTATTTACACTAGGTGGTATAACTGGTATAGTGTTATCGGCCTCAAGCTTAGATATTAGGTTACACGATTCGTGGTTTGTTGTTGCTCACTTTCATTATGTGCTATCACTTGGTTCCTATAGTACTGTTGTTATTGGTATTTTATGGTGGTGACCGGTACTAGTTGGTTATAAGATTTCTAAGGTTTATGCTCAGGCACACTGTATTGTTTCTGGTGTTGGTTTTAATTTGTGTTTTTTTCCGATGCATTATTTTGGTATGTGTGGTTTACCACGTCGAGTTTGTGTTTACGATTCATCCTTTTATTGAATAAATGGTGTGTGTACACTAGGTAGGTTTTTATCGTCTTTTAGTGCTTGTTTTTTTATATATGTGTTGTGAAATTCATTAGTGGAACGGGATTTGGTTGTTGGTAGTTTTCGTAAAACAGGATCAGTAATTAAAGTAATGTTTTGACCAATGACGTTCCACACAGTGTTTCATAGAAAATCGGTAGAGACATCGTTTGTTGTAAGTGGGGTGGGAACGTCAATAATATAAGAGTTAGTATTCTATCTTTCCAAGTTAGGTGTTTGAGTTGTCAGTTGGTGTATTTCACTTAGTTTAAATTTAGAATTATGATTTTGTAATTCATAGGTGGTTGTTTTATCAGTGTGTTAGCTTTTAAGTTTTGTCTTGTTTTGTTGGGATTTCGTTCCTTTTGCATCATGATAAATCGAAATATTTAAATTATTTTTATTTTTCGAAACCAATAGATATGGCTAATGATTGTTTAGAACTAAAAAAATAACAAGTAGTTATCTAGAGATGGTTAGTTAGTTAAGAAATTTTATTCAATGTTGGTTATAACTTATTGTAATATTAGATTTTAATTAAAACACTACCCGATGAGGGGTGGTGTTGTGTTAGATTGTTATGTAGTTATAATCATTTATGTGTTGGGTTAGAGGCACCCAACACTAAAAAAAGCGTTAAAGCTTGATGATTGTAGATATACAATTAATTATATTATATTACAGTTTTAATAATTTGATTTTTATAATGTTTTAATTAGTAAATAAAAAAATGTGTATTTTTTTCTAAAAATTATTTCAACTGTTTATCAAAAACATTTCTTCTTGATGAAAATAAGAAGTAGTGCCTGCTCAATGTATTAATATAAATAGCCGCATTAGCGTGAGTGTGCTAAGGTAGCATAATTAATTGCTTTTTAATTGGGAGAT